CTGAAATCAGGAGGGTCATCAGGTGCGTTAGAGTGGGACTGTAAATCTGCCAAGATTTGTCTGTGTTGCTAATTAGGCTGGGATCCGAGCCTGGGGCCCAGAGCCAAATGTCTGTCCGCATCTCGGACCGCCATGGCTGGCTGTGGGTGATGCCGTGGCGGCACAGCCCTCCCAGCCCTGCTGACAGTGCCTGGGTTGTTTTAATGTGACCGAGAGAAGACCCCAGCGATTTTCCAGGACCCTCTTCCCCTTGGCACGAAGACTTCCCTGCAGAGGGAGAGGGGCGTCATAGGCTGTGAATGAGCGTAGGGCCCTCCAGCATCCGTTCAGCTCCAGTTTGCTTTGGGTAGCAGAGCTGGGAGGAGCTGTCATCTCAGCAAAGGTCGTCACGGACTTCAAAGCTTTTCATTCTCTTCGTCTGAACTCCATGAGGCTGTCTGGGGGGCTTCTGTCTCAGGCTGTCCAAAATAGCTTTATGGGCTTTACTCATTAAAAACAATATCCTTTTACGCTATTGTCTTCTTTTGTCAAAACAGGAAAATATTCTGTACGTTCATGACCTCTTCCAAACTAAAATTATTGGCTTTTTTTCCCCTTCTTTTTGTGATTCTAGATCCCCATTTTCTTAACAACAAAGAGATGTCAGATGTTACATTTCTGGTGGAAGGAAGACCATTTTATGCACATAGAGTGTTGCTATTTACTGCATCACCAAGGTAAAATATAGACACATTTCTGGTTTTTAACCGTTTCTGGATTTGTTTGGTTTTTTGCTGCTGTTAAGATTCTTTGACAGCTGGTGGTCCAGTCTTCAAGTTTTTCCTAAGCGGAACATCTCAACAGCTTGTTTCTGCTTCATCTGCAGGACGTTTTACAAGTGGTCCTGTCACTAGATTCCCACCCAGTAAATGCTCCATGCTTCTGACCATGCATCTGACTTCATTCCACTGAGGCACGTTTCATGGACCTCATTGGTCCATCCGGCTCTTAATCGCAGAGGAATCTTTAATATTTTGGTTCTTAATAATAATTTATCCTGTGAGTGGCTAAATCCTGCCTTGCATCAATGTAGGCAGTCTCCAGGAAAAACAAGCTACTGTCACACGTTCATTGAGAGCATTTGACATTTTTTAAATAAAATCCAATAACTACGAAACATACCATACTCTATCCAAAGGCAGTATTTATAGTCTGTTCCTTGTGCTCAGAAGGCTGGACCTGGCTTATCCAGCTCAATCCAACCTTGAAGTTGCTCACAAACCTTATTTGTATGCAGCTTTATGAATAAAAGGTGTGCTTTTAAACAAATTTAGCTCGCCCTCCATAAGAGCTTATTTCAAGATGCGGCAAGGACAAGCCACTGAGTTTGGGTAGTTTGAGCAATGTGGGAATTGATGCTAGATGTGCTGCCAGCCCACAGCACAAAGAGATTTGCAAAAAGCAACTGCAGTATCTTACCCTGCCTTCAATTAAGAAATGGATATTTTGGTTTAGAGCTTGTTGGTAGAGGTACAAACACATTCCAAACTCCAGCTTTAAACCTACTAAATTGTTTTCATAACAGAGTTTGACACTACTAAAAGCAAGTCAATTGTTATCCATATTTTAATTAACAAGATGCAGTCGTGATATGGAAAAGGTTACCATCCAGCAAATACTGGTCTTGATAGATAAGCCAAGCTTTGCACTAGGGCTTAGAAGGTCAGGTGAATTATCAAAAAGAGGAAGTACAAGGGCAGATGTTTCTGACAGCGCTTCCTATTTTCACCTTCTGATCAAATGGGAATATCTGGTTTTGAGAAATAGATTGCTACATATATATATATGGCTCACATAAATCTGCAATTACTAACTTAAAATGTGCTTTTTTCCTGAAACTTGCGTCTGAATTTCAGAGAACAGCAACCTATCTGGTTTTCTCTCCTGCCTCTTTTTACGTAATTGTATTGAGCTTGCATAGAGGCATTAAAAGTCCTAGTATAGTTGTTTCAATACTTTGTTCCAAAACATTTTTTTAAAGCAGTATAATGGACATAGGCCAAAATTTACCTCCTTCAAAAAAAGGTGTGCATTTTTTAAATGTTGCAAGTCTTCCTAAAAGATTATGTTGCCTCCAAGAAAAAAATAAAAGAAAAATGTATTTTGTAATATGCATCATTACAGAATCTGACTTGTATATGTACATTTTATTCTATTGTGATACTAGGTGTATTTTCCCAAAATTTCAAATCGAAATCTTCTAAAAGAGAGACTTCTTCGTTTTGGTTTGAGCTTCATTTTATGTCAGTGTCTAAATCTTGATGCTTTTCAGTGACAAATCCATTCATTTCAGTGTACTCTTTTTGCAAGAGCTGATGCTGTCCTTCCGCTTTGCTGTACTTTTTCACAGAGATAATTGGGCTGGTATATCAATCTTGCTCCTTTTTATTTAGGTTTAAAGCGTTGCTGTCTAGCAAGCCCTCATCTGATAGTACTTGTATTGAGATCAACTATGTGAAGTACCCCATCTTTCAGGTAAAGTCAGTTCTCACATTGAATTTGAATGGAACTTGTAATAGGAACATCGTACATGCCCTGTCCAAATTAGTACGTATGTATTTGATAAACACATAGCTCAGGGTAGTGGTTTCGTGAGCACAGTCTTCATCCATACACTAAGCTGCAGAGTGCTATTGATTACACATGTTGTGCCTGACCAGATACAATAGTGTGCATTTCACTTATACAGGCTATGCAGACAAAGCAGTGCATGTCAAGGTAGAGCACTTGATTGTTTTTTCTCTTGTTGGTTCTTTCTGTATTTAATGGACAGGCTTGAAAGAGACACAGTTCATTCCCTTCCTTAGCAATATTCAATCAATTTTTTACCACGAAAATACAGACCTTGGTTTCTGTGTCTGTATCTGTATACATGAATATGCTTCCCTTTATTTGAGTCAGAGCTCAGACAGAGCAGATAATTCCCAGGTGCCTACAATAACTTTAGGCTTGCTGGAAGCTCGCTGCAGAGGGATCTTAGCTGGCTCGTATTACAGTGCAAAGCCTCCCCTACTCTTTCTCATCATCCATGCATGCCCACACAGAGCTGGGTGAAGGCGGGGGTGCCATTGACAGGCAAGGAACAAAGGAATAACCATTATATATGCTGTATTTTCCTGAATCGATGAGGTCCTGAACATACTGAGAAAATATTGAAAATTCAGAATTAATTAATCAGCTTCCTGCAAACTGTTTGGAGCTCACCAGTAAGTCTGGACAATGTGGCTGGTGAGGGTTGAGACATTAAGACTACCTGTGAGAAGGAAACATTGAACTGTGCAGAGAGGCAGAGTAATAAATGTATCTTGAAATCAGGAGGTTTAGTCCAGTTTCATCTACAAATCCTGGTGGTGTTGGAGAGCCTCGGGTACTGCCTGCAATCTTTACATCACTCCCTGTTCCCTGATGTCTTGGCTTGCTTTTATAAACACTCCCTTTGTTTTATTACAGCTGGTTATGCAGTATCTTTATTATGGAGGTGCAGAGTCACTCCTGATTAAAAATAATGAAATTATGGAGGTAAGAGACATTTATCTTAATTGCAGTGGGAGCAATGCTAAGTGATCTGTGTACCATTCACCCAAGGGCATGTGGCCATTGGGCAAGACATGAGCACTCCTGTAAGAGCCAGCACTGCCTCACCGGGAGTGTCCAGGCTGTCTGCAGTCCTGCAGGAGACACTCGGTCTCCTTCTCTGCCAGTTGCCCTTTACAGTAACTTTTGACAGTACGGAGTTGACTGTCAGAGAGGAAAAGAGTAGAAAAATTATGATCATCAAGCAAAAAATGTGTCTGAAATAAAAATACCTAGTTAGATGCTTTGAGAGGCTCTTTCAAGGAAATGGAAAGCTGGTGTTACCAAGATCTGGAAGGAACTCTGGCAGCATAGTATACCATCATCTCTTTCTTTCAGCCCAATAGGTGAGTTGCTTTGGTCCAGCTGGGCTGATCAGCTTCTCTCTATCACACTCTTGCTTTTGGTTTATTAGCTCAGGCTTACATGTCCAGACCTATCTCAGCAGCATAAAAGCATCCAGTTTGGTTCCTCACTTGGGAGAGTTCTTGGGCATGTACCTGGCTTTAACCATGGGAGAAATCCCACTGGAGTCCCGGTTCAGTTCAAATTCAAGCATGTGACTGAAATTTTCTGAATAAAACCTTAAGCTCCTCCCTGAGATAGTGAGACTTCCTTGCCCCTTTCTCACTGCACGTAAAACATCCAGTGCCGTTCTGCCCATTTGTGAAAGCCAAACCAAGCCAACTGGAGCTGGACGAGCCTTCAGTGTAGCCACATGTCCGTAACCTGTATGGATGTTAAGTCATTCTCTTCCCAATACTGTGTGCTGTCATTGCCAGCTATGATCAGTCTGACGACTCCAACTAAACAGAACTAAGGGATACTTGAGCAAATTCTTGATAGTCATTCAGGGAGTTTTCCTGTTGACAGTCACCGAATTATAGCAGCCAAAAAGAATACAAGTCAGTAGATACTAAAATCAGAGCTATTTAAACAGCTGGTAATCATCAGTGTACAGGTTATAGTCTGCCACCATGATGTTTTATTGTTGCCTACATTCGTCTGTCCCTATGACACTACTGTCTGGGGCATCCATGCAAGGCTTGGCTTTTATCAAAGCACTGCTAACCAGAAATTTGAGAGCAACTCTTATTTGGGGTGCGAGTGAACAGGATTAATCAATTCTGATGGATACAGGGACATCTGTACCAACCCTGCAGGCAGCCAGGGGATGGAACTGGTCAGGACTGAAATTCTCCGTCTCCAACACAGGCAGTGGATTTTTTAACTAAGCATACCCACATTGACTTTCTGAGCTTTATAGGAAAAGGTAACTGATTCTCTGTTTCACTTGTAGTTTTGAAAGAAGCTCCTGAATTTCTAACCCTTTCTGAAATAAGGAGCCTTAGACTAGGCAGTGCACCAGCTTTAGAGAGACGCGTCTGTTATCACCTAGTCTGTTAAAAAGCTTATGCTGCAGTTCAGCTGGCTGCTTGCTCTACTTTTGTGACATCTCAAAACTTCTGGGACTCAAGAATGTATGACTGATTGATTGATCTGTTGATAACAGATCTGGCCATGGTTCCTCACAGTTTAAAGTAATTACAAACCAGCACGTGACTGCTTGAGCCACAGAGGCAGCTGGAATAGGATTTGGCTTTATCTTTCAAAACTGCATTTAGCAACTTGCCTTATTACAAATATGATAACAAGAAGCACCAGAAATACTCCACAGAAATCTTTGCTGCAATTCATAATTAGGGCCAGCTGGCTGCTATCACATCAGCACTGCAGATTTCCAGCACTTTGATTTATTTATGGGATTAAAGCAGAGCTTGAGCAGAATGCATAGGAGAAGTCAGAATAGTGTCATGGAAGTTTCAGAGTTTTGTTCCCCAGTGCTCCTACCTAGCGGCATGAGAGCCCTTTTGGGATTCACAGGATAGCTTTTTGTCACGCAGTCCTAGATGATAAGGGCCATGTAAATGCCTACACACCTGAACAGCTTGGCCTAAGAGACCTGGCTGGGTTAGAACAAAGTGTCAAGCAATGAAGAACCTCAACCTGCTTCCTAAGTTAAAGCAGAGAGGCAGAGGCAATGACCTACCATGGAAAGACAGAAAATGAATTTCCTTTTCCCTGCTGTAAAAGGGCAAAAAGGGGGCAATAGGGGAAATCTTAGCACTACTGAAATCAGATGGAGAACTCAAAATTTAAGCCATTTTCACCCCACAGGCTTCAGGTCATGCCCACAGTGTACAGTGGCATGCAGAGATCCCAAGGTAGTGTCAGTCCAGGTCATATATCCATAGGGTTGTACCCCGCTGTGCACCCACTCCTTGGAGTAACGTGGAGCCAATGCCCGTGGCCTAGACGTGACCTTACTGCAGCGCACAAGCTAGAGGAAGGAGCATATGGAGATCTGACTCCATGTCCTTGAACCTGCTGAGGTGACAGATTTGAGGTTTATTGCCTTGCTAGATTTTTTAAGACTGCCCAGGGTGTTCATCATCATCTGGTTTGAATTCCTCTGTACTCTTGGTCCTGGCCCTTCTGCTGACATCCCCACATCCAGCCCAGGTGCTCTGTTTCAGCCAGAGCTTGGGGAATGGTTGAACCGGAACCTTTTTTTCCTGGAATGTAATTGCAGATCCCTCCTTGCAGAGTCATGTTTGCAAAGTGACCAAAGACTCTCCAAGCTGCCATTTCCTTTTTCCCCTCTCACCCCCTCTGCCCTCCCACCCCATTCCAAAGTCAGCAGCCTGTGGTGCTCTCTCCATGTACAGCTTCCCACAGTGTGATCTAGACTGCAAAGGGTTGAAGCAACCAAGCAACCTTCTCATTCTGACACTTTGTCAGTACTTTCATGCTAACTGAAGCAGGGGCAGAGAAAAAAATACAATGAAACAGTAAAGAAGCAAGCTCTGATTCTGTATCACTCAGCAGTTTTGACTATTTTTTTCCTTGCCTTTTTTTTTTTTTTTAGCTTCTCTCTGCTGCTAAATTTTTCCAGCTTGAAGCTTTACAACGACACTGTGAGATCATTTGCGCAAAAAGCATTAATACAGAAAACTGCGTGGATATTTATAACCATGCCAAGGTAAAAATAACCACATATGCTTTTGTTATGTGTCTGTCGTCATACTTGTAGGTCAGTGTTATGATAAGTAGTGATTGTTATTTATTTAAGATTTGTCCTTTACTGGGACTGAGTGACTAATAGGTACCTAGTATAGCGACAGTCTTGTCGTGTAGTGTAAAAGCATCTGTGGCAACTGCTCACCCTCTTCTCCAATTGCTTCAAACTCAATTTGAGTGTACCACTGTGTGGCAGACCTATCCCTTATCTCAACAGGAATCACCTCACTGAATAAGACACCTCTCTCTCACCTTCCAAGCTGCATTTTCGCCATTACAATTTCCTGTTTTCTTCTGCCTGAAGCCCACTGGGGTGATATACTCGATGCTGGTGACAGCTTGTCAATATATAAAAATGCCACATTGTCAAAGTGCAGCATCTCGAAGCCATACAAGGATGGTAATGAGAATTTTATGTCTTGGAGAGCAGAGGTTTGCAGCTTCTTATTGGAATAAAATTATTTACTTAGCTTGTGAGGGGGCCTAAGTCATTAGGCATAAAAGCATGGCATTTTTTGACCTAGAAAACCTATTTTTGCTCATTGATTAAGGTGGCTGCCACATTGATTAGTTTCAGTTTTTCTCTTCCCCTTGTGTGCTTAGTAGTTAGACTTTCACTTAGAGGATGGAAATGATAGACAAATAGTTGTAATGAAGTATTTTTAAAGCATCCCTTAGATTTTTTTTTTCTGTAACTTACATTGTGTCTTAGAAGAGATAAAATGGTGCAGCGTGACACGAAGGTTTGATTGAACAGAGTAATCCTGCAGATTGCTCCAAACCCCTGCAGATTTGACCGCCATTCCCGTCATCAGGTGTTTCCTACAGAGAGTAGTAATGTTAGGTCTTGATCTACAGATAACGCACCAACAGCGTTTGAAATAGCATGAAGTTCCACCTATAAAATGAATAAGAAATGAGGTGTATCTGCAGGTCCATTTGCTGTAATAGGAAAAAAATCAGCAGTGCAGGAATCTTTTGAAAAATACTTGTTTTGTCTCTGGCTCGTGTGGCAACTTCTCGATTTGTATTTCTGTTACTAAAAGTAAAATGAATAATTTTGTTTTAAAATCACATGCTTTCTTTGAATTGTGAAATGTGGCTGTTATTTACATCCCGACTGAAGAAAGTTCTTACATGGAGCTTTAGACCTGTCTGAGGAACTGGTACACTGCTGATGCTGGAACTGAACAAACCCGGTGGCTAAATCCAGCTCCTTGGTTGCCTGTAAGAGCCCCAGCCTACAAGTTTTTTGTGCCTGCAACTCCCAATGGAGGCAGTGGAAACGGTGTACTTCAAAGGCCTTTACAACCAGGGTCATGTTTGCACTGACATGGGTAGTGCATTGCAGAGACAGCCAAGCTAGCTGTGAATGAAATCTTGACCTCTGGAATTAGGTAAGCCACGTCACGCTAGAGCTCTGCATGGGCTAATTTACCCAGCTTCCAGTAAGTTACCAAGGCCAAGCTTCATACTGATGTAGCTAGAAGGTTTCCAGGACCTGAATTTGCACATTGAAAGCTAGTTCAGATACCTCTCTATTAGGCTGTGTGCAGAGCAGAGAAGACACTCCATCTTTTTGCTCCCGATCTGTGTGATGTGCAGGTGATTAATCTGAGCACAGGTCGTTCTGCTCGGAGTGCTCCCGTCACACAGTAGCTTCATTTGTTTGTTACGTGAATATGAGGTAATGGAATGTGGCTGAAGAGGCCAGATGGTCCTGATGAGCCAGGGGAGCTCACAAAGGAGTTCAAGCGCAGCTTGCCAACCGACCATCTCCCTTTCCGTGTTGCTCTCCGAAGCGTGGAAGAAGCCCATGTTAGACTGCAGTGAGGATGGGAATAAGGTGAGCAGGCATTGAAGCCAGGAACCACCACATCAGCCAGGAGCAGGTTTTGAGTGACTTGCTCCTGTTAATAGGTACCATTTCTAGTCCTTCCTACTTTGCAAGCTCAGCTGCAGCTCCAGGAGCACAGGTGATGCTGAGACTTGCCTTTCCAGATGGGGATGTGCAAGCAGATTGGCCCAGAGACAAGGTGGATTTGGCCACATTTACAATTTAAAAGCTGAATTGAGAGTATTAAAATAATCTGTGGCATCCCTATGGGCTTTCCATTCTTAAAATTGCAGCATAGAATCATAGAATACCAGGTTGGAAGGGACCTCAAGGATCATCTGGTCCAACCTTCCTCGGCCAAACCACGGTCTAGACAAGATGGCCCAGCACCCTGGCCAGCTGAATCTTAAAAGCGTCTAATGTTGGGGCATCCACCACTTCCCTGGGGAGTTTATTCCAATGGCTGATTGTTCTCGTTGTGAAAAATATTTCTTTTGTGTCCAATCAGAATCTCCCCAGGAGTAACTTGTACCCGTTACCCCTCGTCTTTTCCATGTGACACCTTGTAAAAAGGGAGTCTCCATCTTCTTTGTAGCCGCCCTTTAAATACTGGAACATGGTGATAAGGTCTCCCTTAAGCCGCCTTTTCTCAAGGCTGAACAAACCCAGTTCTCTCAGCCCTTCCTCATATGGCAGGCTTCCCAGTCCTTTGATCACCTTTGAGTCCCTTCTCTGGACCCTCTCCACGCCGTCCACATCTTTTTTGCATTAGCAGGGACCAAAACTGGACACAGTATCCCAGATGTAGCCTGACAAGCGCTGAGTAGGGTGGGATACTGACTTTTTTATCTCTGCTGCTGATGCCCTTGTTGATGCAACCCAGCATCCCATTGGCTTGCCTTGCCACCACAGCACACTGTTCACTCAGTTGAGCTTGTTGTCCACTGGGACCCCAGGTCCCTTTCCACAAAGTTGCTCCGCAGCCAGTAGATCCCAGCCTGTGCTGCACTCCTGGATTACATTTTCCCAGGTGTAAGACCGTACACTTGCCCTTGTTCAACTTCATAAGGTTCTTGTTAACCCACTCTTCCAGCCTATCTAGGTCTTCCTGGAGGGTGGCTCTCCCTTCCAAAGTGTCCACTTCCCCACTCAGTTTGGTATCATCAGCAGACTTCATCAGGGTACACTTGGTCCCATCATCCAGATCACTTATGAAGATATTAAACAGCATTAGGCCCAACATCTACAAAGGCAGTCATTTGATTAATAGCACTTTAAGGTTTCGTTTTTCGAAGCCTTTGTTATTGTCCTTTACTTCCAGAAAGAAATTAAGGAACTAGGCAAATTGGATTTATAGTGGTGATTGATTAGTTACAGCTAGATACCTGTTGTGTTTTACATGAATGCCCCCAAACTCCCAACAAAATCATTTGGAGTTTCAAATACATGCCTCAAATGCTCTGCACTTGCACAGATTGCAATCTGGGCCTCAGAACAAATCTGAACAAGATAAGTACATTATTTCCCTAATCTCCTGAATATATTGAAGTAATGAATAGGGATGAATGGTGTTTCAAAGAAGAATACAGATCACACATGTGCTGTCACATCCAGGTGCAAAATAATGCACTCATAATTTGATGAAAACTTGCATGGTTTGAAATCAAGTTAAATTCATTCATTTTCCTCCAGAAGTCAGGTCCTACCTAACCCTAAGCTGTATTTATTTTCTTTTTCCTTTTTTTTTTACTTTTTAGCAATTTCCATTCTTAGTTCTGAATGTGATCAAGTGGTGGTGGGCAACACTGCTGTGTAGTTGTTCCAGTCTGGACCCAAACTTATGCAATGCCCCAACAGTTCTGGCCCTTCAGGCTACACCTTGCAGCCAAAGGTTCCCACTTTACTCGGAGCTCAGACCTAGCAGGAGCTTACGTGGGCAGGAGGATGGGCTGAGCACTGCTCTTTGCAGTTCTATGGCTTATAATTACACCTATAGTGGAATATCATGGCTATACTCTTTGTATGACCACAGGATCTACCCAGTGGGCGATGACTAGTATGGGTCACCCGTCAAATGACCAGTACGGGTCATTTAAGGTTTGCTCACACGTTACCGTCTCCCTGCTTATTACCCTAACACAGTGTCCAACATAAAGGATATACTGACAGCCCCAAACCACATGCTCTACAAACCTCCATTTCTTCTGCAAAGATTCCTCAAAACATGAAACTTTGCATGACAGGTTTCTGCAGTCCTATGTCCCATCCTATCTAAGGATGCCATTCATGAAGCTTGGTCTGTAGTATGTTTTCCCAAACCTATAGTTCTAGGGTGTAACTTCTGGCATGAAATCATGGGTCTGGTGAACTCTGCGGTAAAACTGCCACCGATTTCCAAGGATGTTCATTTCCTTAACAGCCAGGGCCCTATAATGGAATTGTTACCAGAATCATCAGCATAACATGCTGTTTGATTAACTCCTTCCCTTCCACACTTACGTAACTGTAAGCATTACTGTGCCTGTCTGAAAGGCTTATTAGCTTGTGTATTTGTTGTGTGCAGCTCTTTTGTACTGTATTTGCTGAGCGGGTTTTATCAGAATGGTTATCTTACTCTAATTTCACTTCTTGTAGTTTCTCGGAGTCACAGAACTATCTTCCTATTGTGAAGGCTACTTCCTAAAAAATATGATGGTCCTCATTGAAAATGAAGCTTTCAAACAGCTGTTGTATGACAAGAATGGAGAAACTTCTGGTCAAAATGTACTACAGGACTTACAGAGGACGTTGGCCACAAGGATTCAGTCAATTCATTTGTCTTCTTCAAAGGGCTCCATCGTGTAAAGCTGAGGAAGACAGTAACCCTCTAATAAAGACCCTGCAAGTTAAGTCTGCTGTTGCAGTTGCTTAAACCCGTTGCAGTTGCTTAAATGACTACAAAAAAAAATTAAAATATTCTCCTTCGCATCCAAATAGATCTGTGTTGGCCAAAGGTGCTGCGCTGGGGCTGCAGCCCCATTTGGATGAGGGAATACAGAAAACAAAGCTCCTCTGTGTTTTTGAGCAAATGAGGTACAAGAGTATCCAGTGAATCGCTGTTGTACTCAAATTCTGAACGCACACGTGTGGTTGTGGAGCTTGATGCCAACAAAAGCCAGAACTCACACCAGTGAACAGCAGAAGCCCCTGCCTGGGCGGTGGTGCCGGGGAACACCCAAATCGACCGATTAATCATTTAAGGCGGATTTGTTCCAGTGTTACACATTTAAGAACTATATCTATCCTGGAGTCCATTATCTCGTGCATTTAAGAAATGTAAGAACTGTTATTGCTGTCGAGCAAAGATCAACTGTATTAGAGAGTGGGTAAGACTGTTACGGCTGAGGAAATATACTGGCAGATTTTTAGGGGTGGGAACTTTTTAAATTGTTCATAAAAAATACTGGGGTGGCCTTGTAGTTTAAAAACTATTTCTTAAGCTTAAAATTTCGTTTTCGACAGAGCTGTGTTTGAGAACCTATGTAACATGTTTTGGTTTTTTTTTTTTTAAATGGTAAAATGTACATTGTGTAAACATACATACGATCAAGTTTGGCTTGTATTCTTTCCTAGGGTGGTATAATCTTGCCTAACAGGCTATGGTTACACCAAAGAGGTACATTACCCAGACTATCTCTAATACAGTAGTTGGGGGGGCAGGAGAGCTGCATGCTACTCGTGATTTGGGGTTGAAAACAATGACAAACTAAACATGCATTTGCATGGTAACTGTAGCTGTGAAATGTTACGTTCGTGCTTCGTTTCGCCAAGACAAATGCAATGTTATTTCCTGTCAAACTTCATTTGTGAAATTAGCATATTTTTTTATTTGGTGTGATTGGTTGTGATATGACACCCCTGGAGACCCTTCTCGAGGTGCTGATTTCTGTTTGTTACAGTGGAGGGATAATAACAGAGTTTTACTTCAGTAATGTGTTGGTACTTTGCTACTGGCCAGAGATTGTGTCCGAGTTAGACTTTTTTAAATTATAATTAAATATGTACTATAGAATGATTTCTCACTGTATCCTGAGAATGTATAGGTTATCTACAATGCAGGGTTTGGGTGGGGTGGGATGGGGGGTGTGATTTGATGTCAAAGCTTCCTTTATTTTGCAGCATATTGTTAGCAAGACAAATCTGCTATGTGTCACAACACTCCTGATGCTCTGTCTCTGAAAACCACAGCAAGAAGTAGGCAAAGATGTTGCCTTCTCCATGGCGAAGTGACATTAATATGTTTATTTTCTAGCATGCCATTCAGAAACTGTGCCCAGTTCATAGACTTTACAAGTTTTATTTTGACAGTGCATGTTAACCTCTTGTTCTTTTGTTGAAGTATCTACGTCAGGTGCTCTTCCATGTTGATAGCTTTTGGCATGCTCAGAGAACACAGTTTTGGCTTTAGTTATCAACATGGTAGGAAGCTGTTTTGTGACTCTGAGGTGTAAATCCTCCTGTGTGCTTGGTCCTTTAAAGCCTCTACAGTTTCTGCAACAAATTACCAAAAAGTCTAAACTGCCACTAATGTCAAAGAGACACAGCATGTCAGTCAATTAGACTTTTTTTTTAATCTGCATAGTAGATGTTCACAGAAGATGTTATCTGAAACATTTAGGAAGTGGCAACTTCTGTGTGAATGCTGTGGTCTTAGAGAAACGAGACCATGGCTGGTGCATAGTAGATGTTCACAGAAGATGTTATCTGAAACATTTAGGAAGTGGCAACTTCTGTGTGAATGCTGCGGTCTTAGAGAAACGAGACCATGGTTGGTGCAACAGCAACACGCAGGGGTGCTTGTGGTCATTTGGTGTGCCTCCTCATCCATGGAAATCCATCCTTCCATGCCAATGATAACTAGAAGGAGCAGACCTCACCCTGCAGCTTCATGCTTTAAAATAGCAAAGTTTTCCAAACAATAATCATGATATTAAAATTCTTCCCTTGGATACATATGTAGTGCCCAACAAAGTCCTCAGGAGTTGCATACGCATATATCCATAGGCAGAATAGCTTTTTCTGGGAAACATGCCCACAGGTATACCTGTGGATAGGCAGTCTGGCATCTAACGCTATAATGATAGCCATGGGTGTTGTCCCCTGTTTCTAGCTCAAATACTAACTGTGCTTTGGTAAGGGGGTGTAGAGTCCTGTGTGTGCACAAGCTGCCCCTGGAAGGTGATGTCTTCTGAGCATTTGTAGGAACCTGCCTGGGAGTCATTAGGAAGGAAACACGGATAACTGTGCTAGTTGTTCTTCTGAGGAGTTGAGGGTATCTGTGGTAACATTGACTGGTTTTCTTTCAGAGATAAAGGGCTTAATATGGCCTTTGGTGGCTGTACGTGAACTGAGTGGTCACCGTGTTTGGGCACTCAAAGGCAAATGCAAGCCAAAGGCTGTAGCAACGGAGTGCAGCTGCCTCCAAACACATGCTGCGCAAGTCTGCCACCAAAGCTGCGTCAGCCCATGCAGTCGTGTGTCCCCTTGCTCCTTCAAGGTCTTGTGAATCTTAAAAAAAAAAAAAAAGTTTTAAAAAAAGGATAATGACTTTCAATTCTTTTTCAACATGTGAGCCCCATCACTTTTGCCAGCAGAAGAGCCAGCCCCTGTGTAACCCTGGCATTCATTTCACCTGGAAGGAGTCAGCAGACCTTTGTGGATCCACAGACCAGAGTTTGAAAACTGTGATTTTAGTCCACCTCTCCTGCTGTGAGGCTGAGTTGAGGTCTAGCTGAACCATGCCAGGCAATGTGCACCTTGCAGGCTCTTGAAATGTCCAGTGACGGGGATCCATGATCTTCACCACCATTGTAATCAGAAGATTTTCCTAAGAGACTATTTGGAATTTCTTTATTGGAAATTGAGTTGCTTTTCCTTCAAGCCCTGATTGACAGGAAGAACCTATCTTACAAGATTATTCTGTATATGAGAGGAATTATCCTACTTTCCTCACTAGTATAGTCTTTCCTAGTTCCTTTGCTAGTATTTTCTAGGTCTCTGATTTTTGCTGTCATTTGCCTCATGACTCCCTGGTTTCCCCAAAATGCAGTACTCCAGCAGGGGTTTTATACAGTAACAACCAAAGCAGAGTAACTGTCTCATGTGGTTTATGTAAAGTATATCAGAAAATATATCCTGGAATATTTTCTACAAGAACATCCCATGGCTGACTTTGATCTAGTCGGTCTTCTGTTATAATTCCTGGGTGATTCACTACTGCTTTCCCAGGAATTCGTGTTTTTGTTTGTGCATTTGTTTACTGCAGCTTCCAAAGTATAACACTTTCAACTTGTTTTTATTGAATTTATTCTGCTTTAATTGGGGCAATTTCCTCAGTTCACCAACATCAGTTGCAATTCTGATCCTGTCTTCTAGCCTGTTTCATAATCTCCAAGCTTTATTATACGTGGCTTCATGCATGGATTCTTCATTCCATTAATCTAGGGCTGGGAGGGAAGGGCTCTGTTGTCAATTTAATCTAAAAAGCAGTGTGAGTTTCAGTGGGTGCTCATGAATACCATCCCTATCAGATAAGGCTCTTTCCAGCAGAGCATTTTATTAGCATTTTTTAGAGAGATGGTATCATCATCTTAGAAAATAAAAAGCCTTCTGCTTCTTTAGTCTTTGTATGATATGCAATAATTTACAAATTTTGAGGGAAAATATTGCTTCCAATCTAGATGAAATGGGCAAAAAATACAACATCCTTAGGAAAATTTGTGACTTTTTTTTTTTAATAATAACTTTCCAGCCTGTAATGAGTGAAGGGTTCCTTTCCATCTGTCTTTTTTATACTAATCCGCTGCTGTAATTAGTGGCAGGCATCCTGCCCCTGCCTTATGGCAGGTCTTTCTTTCTGCCTCTCTGCAAGGTCCTCCCTTAGTTTCCAGAATTTCCTCACAGTTTTTTTGCTGCCAGTTTCCATATTCACAGGTTTTTTTACTCTAGAGCCCTGCTGGATCCCTTCCCAAGCCCAGAAAGAGGTATATGTCTTCTCTTGAATGGGCGATTTTCCAGTAATTGGCTTGAGAGCTGGGAGGAGAAAAGGATGGGGAATGTAGGAGGGCAAAGGTTTTGGACATCACAGAGGAAGGCTGGTATTCTTTTCACAACAAATTTCAGCCCTATCTACTTGTTTCTCAGATTTTCCCCTGATCTTTTCCTTATGCCTACTGTCCTCTAAACACAGCTGGTGGCCAGATGCTCTCCGTTCTGGAAAAGGGCCAGCTTTCTAATGGCTAAGACTTTTTTTCCCAGCTAAAACTTTTCCCTGCTTGGTCTCAGCTTCGGAGTAGATTTGTGCAAATGTCTATTAAAGACAGAGAAAACGTCTTTAAAGAGGTGCGAAGGCTTAGTAGCCAGGCTCCTAGTGGCACTAATGAGAGCTCTTGCAGAATCCTCTACAAGTTGCTTTTGACACTGAGCCTTTTTGTATTGAATATCCACTGGCTTCATACCAAGCGTTGCACAAGTCCTGGATGCGCTGCAGTGTGTGGTGTGCTGGAGGCTTTCGGAAATTCTGGTTTTATTTCAGAGCGTAGAACGATGTGCTGCTCTTTGAAGGTTAAAAGAAAAAAGGAAATCCTTGGTTTGTACTGAAATAAAGTGCTCTGAGGTGGTGCAGTGAGAAAACAGAAAGGGCATCTCTTCTGCCACCCCATACCTGCCTCAAATCAGAGAAGGATTCTGTTACGGCATGCAACGCAACTAGGTCTGCGGGGACTCAGGCATGCAGGACCCTGCTTAAGTGGGTTTGTTATGTTCAAGAAAAAGACAGGTGGTGTTAAAGTTCACACATCCACATGCTCAAGGCAAGGCTCAGGCCATCCTAGAGAAAAAGCCATTCCCTCTCATCTGTGGGAGAAGCTGAGAACCTGCAGAACTTGTCGAAGTCACTTGCAGGTATTCAGTGTCCCTCAGGAGCTGGCTCTGTCTTAAAAATATTGCTGAAAGATGACATCCTGAAGCCTGCATTCACTAAAGCTGCCTCTGAAGTCAGTGGAATTTTTTTTTTTTGATGAATGAGAGTTACCTAAACTCAAAGACTTGAAGTTAGTTTGTTTGAAAAATTGTCTTTCATGTGAGTCTTTGTGAGTGCTTTACAGAAGTGAAGGGCCTGATGTTGCTTTCATCCTCTGGCCCAGAGATGTTGAAATATATAAGCATTTAAAAAGCTGCTTAGGATTTGTCGTAATATTTAATAAACTAGCTTGTAGAAAGTTAGCCTTGAAATAGCACTCGATATCTGAAACCCCATAGACGAGAACGTCACTAATTTTAGATGCCTGTAAGCACAACATTTACATCTCTAACTTGCAGCACTTCCAATCACGTCTTCCATACATTTATAACAAAATTAATGTTTGTTATTTTTTAACTTGTTATTTATTTTGAGGTAAGGCCCGTTATCTTCAGTGGGTGAAAGCTGAGGCTGCCCGCTCTGACCAGATTATCACATTTCAGTAGAATTGCACCTGACCTACCATTTATAACTGGCCTCCAAGGGCAAAAAATAGCAAAGCTGAGTCTTCAGCTGTGAGTCAATGATCCGTGAGTTCAATGAGGCTGCTGCTGAAAACATAACAAATGTGGTGCCCAAAGCAGAAGGAAACCCGCAGAAGCTAATGGGCATTTGTCAGCTGCCTTCAGTGAGCCTAAGAACTTGGGAAGCAAGCTCAGTGTGGATAGGAAGTGGGTATTCCATTTCTTTTTGTTGCCATTAAACTGTAATTCTTTCAGCTTGGTTCAAGGCTTCTTGCATGGAACAGCCATGGATGGCCTAGCGTGTATTTATCTTAGACATAAGCAGGAGGCTCAAAATGTGGTATCTCATGTTCTCAAGTCAGTATCTCGGTAGATGATGTTTTTTGTGCTTTGCTTGGACTGCTTGTCACCAAAACACCCAGGAGATGTGGCAGCAACTTACAAGAGAGGTTGCATTGGCTGGATAAGTTAAATTCTCCAAACATCTTGTGGTTTTCAAGCTATGTCGTTTAGTTGGCTAAATCTGT